TTTCGAGTCTTCAAACTAACTACTTTATCCAGACTTGGTGTTCCAATTATTTTTTCTTTCATCTGATTTCGTTTTACAGTCTCTTTTGTTTGCACTGGAGATGGTCCTTTCGAGTCATTAGTGAGTATAACTACTTCTTGTTTTTCGCTTGAAGAAGTTGAGTTTTCATTACTTATTTGGGATGCTGTTGTTGGAGTACTTGGTTCTTTCTTTTGAGCCAATTTAAGCAATTCTTCTGAACAACCAGATTGCTGTACAAGTCCGTTAAATATTGATTTTTCGTCTTGTATCAAATTGTATGGAGTTTCCATTTCTTTTAACATTCCATTATCAAATACCATTACTCTGTCTGCGTCCATGATAGTTTGTAATCGATGTGCAACAGTAATCACGGTTACATCGTTAAAAATTGTTCTGATTATTTCTTGAATATTTTTATCTGTTTGAATTTCGATATTTGCAGTTGCTTCATCCATAATCAGTAATTTAGAACCCTTCAAAAATGCTCTCGCCAAACATATTAATTGTCTTTGACCCAAAGAAAATTATCCCCTCCTTCTGCCACTCGATCATGAAGTCCATTTGTACATTCAACTTTATTTAACACGTTCTTTAATTTTTCGTCTGTCATTTCGTATCTTGGATCTAAATTGTATTTTAAAGACCCACTAAACAAAGTAGCTTCTTGTGGTAAAATACAAATTTGTTTTCGTAATATATCAAGTGGAATTGTAGAAATGTCAATTCCATCAATTTTTATTTGACCAGAGTAAGCTTCCTTAATTCGTAGGATTCCTGCCATCAGAGTAGATTTCCCGCTCCCTGTACGTCCCGCAATTTCAATTTTTTCTTTTGACTCTATTTTTGCATTTATACCTTTTAATATCATTGGAAGTCCTCGTCGATATTTAACTTTGAAATCGATAAATTCAACGGAACCAATTGAAGGCCACGTTTTTGGTGGTATAACATAATTAGCTTTAATACTTTCAGATTCTTCTTCTCTTAATTTGTTTAATTGAAGGACTCTTTCAGTGGATTGCATATCAGTCTCTATGCCAATGATGGCTCTTGAAAACACACCAATAGTATTTGGAATATTACAAATGTTTGTTAACGCGGTTCCAGCTATAGAAGCGTCCATTGTGCGTTGTAATTTAGTAACAACCAGTACTCCAACAGTAACAAAGCAAATAAATACACTCAAAAAGTCCATTCTTTGACTGAAATACAATTTCGCCATTTTAGTAAGATATAAAGTAGTTGTGTTATTCTTCATTTTTTCTACTAATTTATTTTTAAAATGGTCTTGACCATTTGCTGACCGAATAGTTGAAAGTCCGAGGAGAGTTTGGTCATAATGCACAAAAATGGGAGCTCTTGTAATACCTTCAAGTCTTTGTAATTCAATAATTGATTTAGAGACAAAGAGATATATAAATATGAAAATGATGACGATCACCAACACTAAGACTATTAAATAAATTGATGCTTTACAAATGGTAATAGAAACAATTACTACATTTGTAATATTTACCATTAACATCTCGCACGTCTGTGGAATTGAGTAATCAATGTTTTGAAAATCACTTGAAAAATAGTTCACAATTCTTCCCATTGGTGTCACATCGAAAAACCCCAATTTGCATTTCATTAATTTGTGAACCAATTTCTTGTGAAGGCCAAGTGATACAAAAACACAGAAAAAAATATTGACTTCTTCACTGATAAATATACTCCCAATATCTCCTACAAATGAATAACAAAAAATTTTAAACACTCGAGTGTCACCTTGTTGAGATTCGTTGTTGGTTTCAATCGATTTTCCCCACAACGTTAAGTAACTGTTGTAATAATAAAGTGCACAAATTCTACCAGCTAAACACAGCCACATAAGTACAAACATCATGTAAGATCCAGACTTTATATATTGCCAATACACATTCATTGGTACTTTTCCAACTTCTCTTTTCTCTTCTCTGATTTTTGTGCAAGATGCATCAGAAGTGATAATTTCTTCGTTTTCAAACTCTTCTTTCTCAACTTTTTGACTTAAAGTCTTTACAAATTCAGAAGCTGGAATGTTCGACTTTTTGAGCTCTTTTAAAGAACCATTGAACACCAAATGGTTTTTGTATCTGACCAGAATTCTGTCTGCCTTTTCTAAAAAGTAGGTCTGATTTGTAATTACTATCCTGGTCTTTTCGCTTAAGTGTTTTTGAATGGCATTTTCAAATATGTATGTCCCAACTTTGAAGTCGACTGCACTGAGTGGGTCGTCCATCAAAACAATATCTTTGGGGTCATATAATGTTCTTGCTATATTTATTCGTTGTCTTTGTCCCCCAGATGAATTGGCGCCCTTTTCGGCTATTAAATACGAATCTCCACCTACAAAGTTATCAACATCGGACACCAAACAAGCATCATTCACTGCTTGTTTATATCGATTCTTCTCATATGGAGTTAAGAAGCAAATATTTTCTTTGACTGTTGCATTCATCATCCAAGGTGTTTGACTTGTGTACGTGATTTTTCCATTGAGTGCAACTTCTCCAGTTGACTTCTCCAGTTTATTAAGTAGTGATAAAATAATAAATGTTTTACCACTTCCTACAGAACCAAGAACACAAACAAGTTCTCCCTTTTTGATCTTTAAATCGTCACAAGAAAAAGCACTTTCATTATTAGGAAATTTGTAATTAACTTGATTCATTTCAATTGCATATTCACTGTTATTTTCGTTGGATGTATTG